TGGACAAGTTCTTGTTGTCTTTGCATTACGATGAATGAAAACCAAGTTGGACCGTGACTGTCTGAAGCCAAGTGGAGTTATGCTGAGGTTTTGCATGGGAAGAGAACTTAATCCTAAAGGGTGAGTTGCACTTTCAGTGCACTGAAGTTTCACTTTATAGCAACATCGTGCTGTTTCGGAAGCAGGTTGCTAAGTGTAAATATCATTGAGTTTGTACATGTTTATTTTTGGAAAAGCACTTGCGTAACTATAGAGCCATTTAATTTGCAGAACTGTAAATTTGTATAAATGTACTGTAAGAGGAGTTGTACGTTTCCTGTCACACGGCGTTGCCTGTGTTCTGCCACGTTCTCTGCTCGCCGCCGGGCCGGTTTGTGAAAGGCCGCGCTTCTGAAGGCGGCGCCTGGAGTTCTCCGCTCTGAGACATGGGCAGCCAACCTGGCCACTTCCCCTCGTCTCCCTGAATCCGGAAGGGACTTGATCTTCAGGTGTAACTGGCTTCTACTCATGCTCTTCTCGTCGCTGTCAAACCCACGCTGTAAGGCTGTGGAGGAGTTAACAAAAATACCAGTAACTAAACACAAGGCCAAGAAAACCTCCAGAAGGATTTCTCATCCAACGAAGCTTTTCCCAACCAGTCGTCCAGGGAGGAACTTTAGTTTGGGTAGGCCTCAGCTGTTCTCAGACAGTGTGCTCAGGTGTGGCTCACCCCCATATTCATACTCTGGTATGAAAACTCAAACTGTAGCAACAGCCAGACAAGAATTTCAGCGTGTTCTGTTGCAAAAGTCAGTTCTTTTAGCCGTCATTTGTACTGTTGGGAAAGCGTTTGTTAGTATCACTTATGCTTTTAGACAAACATGGAAAAATTTGCATCTAATCTTTCTGTTGAACGTCAAATTTGTCATAGCTGTTACACAAACTCTCTTCAAAAGAGGCACGGGAGAAGCTCAGCCTCTGTTTGAGCAATAGTGAGCATGGGTGAAAATTGCCACGCTGAGCCTGGCTCCGGTACTGCAGAATTTTCTCTACTGGTATTCCTTCCTCTGTTCTCCAATTGCTGAGGTCTTAAAAAATGCAAGTGTTCCTGTAAGAGATCTGTACAGCAACAGGCGATGTTTCAGACAGTATACAAGGATTCCTAAGGAACCAATATTATGCAGTAGATGTTTATATTAAACCCATCCAGTAACTAAATACTGCATAGCATTTACAGCTTGAATAAATATTTTTGTTCTAATAAAAAGTCATGTCTTGTTTAATATTTTCTAAGTGCACGGTGCAGCTTTGCGGGTACCACACAGAAAAGTCATGTTGATGGGTCATTTTTTTAGGACAAAAAGTTCAGCCTTGAACGTGGAGTTTTCATAGCACCAGTTGTCAGAGTGGCAAAACCAATCGTGTCTCTGCTACATGGTGGCATGTGATGCTTAATAGTATTCTGACAGTTGATATGTGATATTTTTAAACAGATTTGCTATTTATTTGAGACACAGTGTAGTTCTTCCATGAGACAGCCACTATCCACCATAGTCTGTCTTTCCCAGTTCAGGGGACTGGTGGTACCAGTTCATGTCACTTTCAAAGGAAGAAGGATCTTCAGTGCCAGGCTGCTGTCAGCTGGCAGATAATTTTTAGGAGAACAGGTCTTGGACCAGGAATGAAGGCTAATTGTCTTAGTATGCAGCATTTAAACCCCCCTGTTCATTTCCTACCCCTACCAGTCCATTCCTGCCTGGAAAGCAGAGATCCCACTACATCCCAGTCAAAGTATTGATTCCCCCTACTTTATGGAGGCAAATGTAGGGACAGGCAGTGGGTCAAGATGACTTCCTGGTGACATGATGGCAGTTGTCCTCAATCCCTGCTACGAGACTTAAAAGCGGTTGATGTTTATCCCTGGTGAAAAGGGGGAGGTGGGAATAGGGTTTATGCTGGTGAAATTTTTGCCGTCTGGTAAAAAGCCTAACAAAGAAACAGCATAAATTTCTCCCTGAAGTCTTCAATAAGACTTTCAGTGGCAGTTGAGAAAACGTACGTTGGCAACAGAGGAGCCACAGTTAACAAACATTCTTTATTGTCAGGTCTCAAGACATTATTATAATTTTACATTTTTTGTTTGTACTGTATAAAAACTGAGTCAAAGGAAATAAAAGCCCCCTTGTCTGTATTGATAATCAATGATGGTTTATGACATTGTAGAACACCGTTATAGAATTCATCCCCTTCTTGATACGTAAGATGTAACAGGTGCCACTCATCAGCTGGCCGAGGGTGGCTGAGGCGCTGGGCCTACAGCTTCTCTATCAGCAGTGCAGACGCGCCGCCACCTCCATTGCAAATTCCTGCGAGGCCGTATTGGCCTTGTTTCAACGCGTGGGCCATGTGAACAACAATTCTTGCTCCAGACATTCTAAATAAAAGAAAAAAAAGTGTACAGAGCTTAGCTTAAAGGAAAGTCTTCATTTGACCCACAGCAGGGAATCAGCAGAATATAGCACTGATTCACTGGAGGGGAAAAAAAAACACCAAGAAACCTCCAAAAAGACCAAACACACCCTTTCATCTACTTTTAGGTGCAATACAGTGGGGCTTTTCTCCAGCTACAGTACCCAACAGACAGAAGGACTCTTACAGGTACACAACCAAAAACTCCATGTTCATCTGACCTTCCTTCCGGAAAAGAAAAGGTCTCTGGGTCAGCCCCTCTGGTACAAAGTATCTCTAGATGCAGCAAAGCCCTTCCAAAGAAGGTAACAAATTGCCACAAAAAGCAAATCGATAGTAACAAGTAACGTCAAACAGTTTCTTACTTGCTTACAGCTTGATACACTGCAGTGTGCTACTGTGCTCCACCGAATGTGCAAAATCCGACATTTAAATTCTGTCATTAGACTGTCAAAAAACCACCCCATACTCCCTTATGAGAAGCAGCCGATACTGCAGAGGAGATGTCAGCTTGTCTTGGGGGATTCTGCCTTGATTAGAGCTGCTGACGAACCACGCAGCGCTCCAAGCGGTTCCTGCGGAACAGCGGGGTCACCTCCCACCCGTGCGTACCGCCAGGCCTGCAAACGGGGTTCTCCTCACAGGCCTGCGCCGTGCAGCACGAGCGCTCTCGGAGGAGCAGTGGGATAGACCCGGGGTATACCCGCCTCACGAGTCACCGCTCTTGGGGAGCACTGCAGGTGACGTGACTCCTCGGACCAGACGACAGAACTTTGGCCAAAGGCCCCCTGCCATCCCCCAGGCTGGCCCTGCGTCAGGTGCTTGGCGACTTTGGGATTCACTGCCCAGAGCGCTTCAACAAGACCTGGGATTTCATTGTGCTCATGTAACAAAAGTCCCTGGACCGTGTCCTTCGCTATTTCCAGAAGTTTACCTGTCAATTTTATTAGTGTAACTGCTTGGTTAATTATTACTGTTCATCCTGTCTTGTCAATAGTGATTTGGTTTTAATACTTCGTAAATCCACACTGCTGTGGTACCGAGCAAGCTCTTTATAAAAGCAGGGGATAACGACCTGGGAAGAGACAAAGGGGATCGGGCTTCTTTCAAGGTACCCTGAAGTCTAACACCTGACTCAAGTCACTCTGGGGCTGACCGCAAACCCCTGCTACCCGTCCTACGTGGGTTACCTGTGCAGATAGAGGTCAATGGGTTTGCAGTGTGTCTAGAGACCGGTGCCCTCTGCAGAACCAACCTGGCGCCCAGGACTCACCCTATGGGATGGCCAAGGGAGACGGCACCTCCATTAACGTTTACTTTTTGTGGATCAATGCCCAGCATTTTAATGTTGGCCAGCACCACAACGCTGAACGCTTCGTTGATTTCCCACATTGCAATATCTTCTTTTTTCAGGCCTGTCTCACTTAGAATCTAGAAAAGGTAATAAAAATAATTACTATTATGAAAAAAAAGGAAGATAATACTAGAAATCATCAGGTCTGTTTTGACTCAGGCTGCCAGTCGTCGGATTCAAGTTCACATTTCGTAACCTCTTTGTCAGGTGGGAAAAAGCAAAACTGAGGTACTGAAGCACAAACTTGAGTTTTCATGAAAGAAGAAGTGGGGAGTAACCTATGCCAAGAGCGCCTTTTCATCACACTTGTGCCCAGACGGCTGCTACAGCAAGTACATTTAAGCTGACACAGTACTGCCTCACGCCATACCTTGCCCTCAGCTCCCTTTTGAACCAGTCCCTACTGGTACAACTGCAGCTATTTCACCTTTTAGCTCTACTAGCTGCAAAGTGTAAAAAAGCCCAGAGTTGGTGAAAGCCGTACAAAATTATATTCTCTTTCCCAACAGGTGTGAGACATTTGTTAGTCTGAAAATCAGCATTCTAGCCTCAATCCTCTGAAAAACGTGTTCTTTGTATTTGTAATGTAACTATAATTTTGATGCTAATTACAGGAAGAGGGATAACCAACAATCCAGTGCTAGGGAAGGTGGTGTTGTTCAAAAAACACTCGGTTTTATTCCTACCTTGGGAACAGCATGTGCAGGTGCAATTGGGAAGTCAATAGGATCAACAGCGGCATCGGCAAAAGCTGTAAAAATTGCAAAAGCTGTTTAAAGACCTTTTGTTTTTACCACCCGGGATCTTTATTTGCACAAGCAGCAAACCCAGCCGAGACAGAGAAGTCCTGAATATAACGGTCAATGAAATAGAGACTCTACAGTTTAGTGCCTTAAGTGAGCCACATCATAACGTTTTCAGACTCAATATTATTCCCTACAGAAAACTCTGTTTACAATCAAAAGCCTGCTGGTACAACCCTTGGAGCTCCAAGGACTGCATGGAGAAGATGCAGCCATAACGCGAAGGGCTCGGCTTTTCTGCCCCACGAACGTCAGATAGCCGGCCAAACGACTCCCAGTCCGAGAGCACCTATGGGAGCATTTTCCAGTACTCAAAGAAAAGAAAACCCGTACCTACTACCCGTGCCAGTGGTTTGACCTTCAGTCTCTTGGCTGCCTCCGTGGTCATCAGCACCAAAGCAGCCGCTCCATCGTTCAGAGTGCTGGCGTTCGCGGCTGTAACTGTTCCTAGGAAAGGTAAAAGCACCGTCTGAACAGAGGGGAGCGTGGCAGAGCGCACGTGTATCTTGTGAACGTCGGGGGTTTCACCTCAAGCCCTTGAACGTAAGGTCTCAACAATACGGTGGTATCTGTTGCACTCACTTAACTAAAAAGGAGTTATCTTTTTTTAAATCGATTTGATTAAACAAGTACAGTCACATGGATTCGTATCTCTGTCCAAGTGGCAGTTTAGCCCATGCCTTCCGTGCCAGCTGCACTGCTGGCCTAACTCCAGCTCAAAAAGGCCTGTGAACGAGTGGCAGCTTTGATTCAGCCAGAAAGATTTATCAATCCCAGGCTCTGGGAAGTAACAGGCAACTCCGTAAGGGCACTCCAGCTCCCGCTGAACCCAGCGCTCGTACTTGGTGGAGACCAAGACAAGAGCTAACCTGAAACCGATCTGTTTCAGTCTTTTTAAAGCAAATGTCCCAAACGGAGCTTGCCACAGGTCTGAGGTTCTTGGACCACCTTTTAAGCCGAGCCAGTTCGTGCTGTTGTGACGCATGTGTCTTTATCTTAGCAGCCATTTAAAAGTTAATGGGCTACTGTTCGGCCTTCAAGCTCTTGGGAGCAGCACTCGTCACTATAACAAAGTATCCTCACACTTGGTAAAAAATTAAGCAGTTGTTCTGCTTAATTAAACAATATTTACCATTTTCTTTTTGGAAAACAGCTTTCAGCTTTGGAACTTTACTAAAATCAACACGTTTGTATTCTTCATCTTCTTTCACTTCTATATCCGGCTTTCCTGAAATTCAGATTTGGTTTAGTATTTTACAGAACAGCCCATTCTTAAGACATTCTAACACAGTACTTTGATTAAACGCTGCCTTATTTAAACAACTTATTTCAGTTAAAAAAAATGTAACCACACGTAAAATGGATGTCAGGAAATGTGCTTATGAAAACTGAAAAAAATTATTCCTTAATCTAATTTGTCCCCAGCAAATCCATTTATACTTCCTGGTGGCTGAACAAAAGGGACAAAGAATGTATCTTTAAGGTAATTAACTGGGAAATTAAAACACAGATGTCCTCAAGCCGTACTAGCTAAATTCAATAGCTAGTCTTCCACTTACACAGAAAAGGACGAAGATACATATGTAACGTTAAAGAAAAATTTGAAAACAAAACCAGACCACGGGTCGCTGACTGCTGCTCACCAGCAAGGCTGCATAACAGAAAATTCTCAGCTAATCTAAAATTAGATCCCTGAACGAGATCTGCGTGTTTAAACAACCCAGTTTGCACTGAACACAACCTGACAGCTTTCAGTGAGAAACACAATTCATTTATCACACCTTCCCGTTGTACCTTTCTTTGAAATAGTGACAGGAACTATTTCATTTTTCAATAGTCCTGAATCCCAGGCTGTTTTGCTCTTAGTGTAAGAGCCTATGGCGTAAGTGTCTTGTTCCTCTCGTGAAATAGTAAACTTCTTCGCGGTATTCTCAGCGCAGTTGCCCTTGAAGAAAACCAGGCACGTTAGGTTTGGTATTTCTGGAGATGTGAAGTAGAAATGCAGCTGAAAAAACTCAACCAGCAGATTTCTAGAATGGAATGTGACTAACATTTCGTGTCCGTTCCTAATGTACACTGCCACGATCCAACAGTAACTTTTGGGTTTGCAATATGATCTTTTTTCCAAGTTCACAAACAGCATGCAAAATGGAGTTTTAAAGTGCGCAGGGCTGATGTCTTCAGAGACTGAAGACCACCGTTCAGCCACAGAACAGAATGTTCACATCGTCTTACTCGTGTTTTCATTCCACTCTTAGCTTGCCTGTTCCAAAGGGTACAAGAACAGCCCAACACATGGGGGTTACTCAGCCTTCGGGATCTGAGACTCCAAAAACCATGCAAACAGAAGTATGTATACCTGCTGCCTAACAACTGGAATGAAATAAGTAGAATGAGACAAGCAAGTCATTTTATATATAGGTCAATCATAATCATAATTATACACTCATCATTCATTGCCAACACTGTCTAAATACCTGGTGACAACATTAATTAAAAAAAAAAAAAAGTTTTGTCAACCTGAACGATTTGTTTTTAAACAGGTTTTGTTCCACCTCTCATTTCTGTAGAAAACTCAATGAACTCACACAAAACCCTTCAGTACTGCTTTTCTCCAGTTCTGCAAACAAGCAAGTTCACTTCTACACAGTTAAAGAATTTAAAGTCACACCAGCAACTGAGCCTGTTGCCAAAACACGGGCAAGAGTAAGTTTCTAAAGCCATCAGATGGGCCTTCCCGTATATTCTCACACAGACCGTTAAGGTTTTCCAAGCAACCTACAGCTGCTGTAAGGCAAAAGATTCTCAAATATTGTCCCAATCTATGCAAACTTGTGTATTATAGCCAACTCCCAGAGTTTTTCCCCACATACAGGAACTAGCAAAGCCTCTGTTTACATTCCTATAAAAATTCTCAGAATCCATTTTAGCTGGAATGTGGGACTGGATTTCAACCAATAGCCCAAGTAGAATGCACTATACTGCAAAAAGAGTACATCACACATCGAAGCAGTGAGGTCTGTATCAAATACACGGATCACAGTACAGTATTCTCCATGATACGCTCTCCTGTATACCAGCAGAACACTAATTGGTCAATCAATAACGCCCCACCGCTGTGAATTACCACAGGCAAAGGTCAGAAGTATTTGTAAACTGGAAGCCGCCGTTCTCTTTCCAAACTGTTCTTCACTATCTTCACATCAGTTGTTTCCCAAACCCACCCGAAGTTTGCAGTTGTTTGCCCAATTTAAGTTACCATGCTGCTGGGTAAGCGCATCAGCTGACTCAAACCTTCCAGCAGAAGATATGAGATACGTACGCTGGGGGAGGGCAAATAAACACAAGAGCCTGCTGAGCCGTGCAGGGCAGGCACCCTCAAAGGCATCAAGTAATTCGCTTGCTCTCTCCCACAGACTGAGCCACAGCAACCTCCCGGTAGCAGAGATACTCTCTTTAAACCCCTGCTCTTGGCTGTTCAGACTTCAGTCAGAGACAGACAAGTATCAACACACAATTTGCTATTCTGTGTCGGTCTCCTGTCTAGCCCCTCCACTACAGTTACTCAGGAAGCCTGGAAATGGAAGACTTTTTCCTCCTCCGTTAACATTATTCCTCATTTCTAGGTTTGCTAGATGAAGCAGTTTCACAACAATGATAAGCAAGCTCTTCAAAGCTGCAGCAGGTCTATGGCTGATGCGTTAGGACTGTGCGGGAACATTTACCATGTGGATATGGTTATACACATCTGTCAGCCCATCTTTTACTATCAGGTCTTCCAGCTTCACTCCTCCATAAGGCGTTGATCCTCTGCTCATCGTGTAGGGAACATTAGACATGCTCTCCATTCCGCCAGCGACCATGACATCCTGCCCGAAGGAAACAAGTTAAAGCTGTCAATAATGCAGCTTGTTCTCTGTGACTTTTTGTAGCAGCAAATATTAGCAAAAGCTTAAGCACAGACACTTTGCATTTCTGAGGAGTCTTAGAGAAAGAGGAAAAAAAAAAAATCCTTGTGCATTTAAAAAGCAAAAGCAGGAACAGCAGCTGAAGACAGTTAATCCACCCTTACAGAACAAGTGGACTTCTGGCTTGTTTTAAAAAGCTGCAAGAGCCATGACAGTCCCTTGCACTTTTACTTCAAAAGCTTCTGAGATCAATTTATAAATTTTACTTATAACAGTTTCTTTTTCTGTAAATTTCTTATTTTTGTTCTTCATTCGCAGCTCCATATCCCTATGGAACAAGCAACAGTCAGAATCTTGAGACCAATAAGAAGAGACAGAGATTTACAAGGACCCGCAGTTTGACATAATACTGTTTCATCTTACGGTGTAAAGAGAGACAACTTATAATATGGTTTTATCAACTGAAAAGGCCAGCAAAAAAGGAGATGTTAGTAATTAACAATTACTGAACTTCATTAAGCTGAATCATTATGGGCATTATAAATTAGCATACTTTTCAAGCTGAGACAAAGCAAACAGAAAACTACAAACGGCAAAGCTGTAAGGACCATAAGTACAACTAAGTACATTCATCAGGCTATGGCCCCAAAAGCCCAGGATGTGAAGAACAGGCACAGTTGTGTTTAATGGCATATTTGAAATACTGATAAATGTAAGAAAAATACACACACAGCAGTGTGAGGCTTTGAGAGTTCAATAATACTGTTAATATAAATTCAATACAATTTTGGTTTCTTTAAGTTAAGACTCAGAGAAATAATGGTTTGTTTCAGAACAGGCTATAAACTAGATCCAGGAACAGTGACATGAAGTAATAAAGAAAAGAACAAAAGCTGGAGACAAACTGGAAAGGCAGATCAATCGGAAAGGCAGCTGAGATACAGCAGCAGCAGCAGATCAGAGGAACAAGAGTCCCCGGCATTTCAATTCCATAAAGTGAAAGACTTGGAGACAGAGCGAACACAACTGTTTACACAATGACGTACGCTGACTCAAGCCACTGGGAACCATCACTGACGTTCGTACCACAGACACCTCACAGTCCACAGCCACCGAAACCAAACAAATACCAAAAAACCCCATAATTTATAGCTCTAAGAGACTAATAACTGGCTGAGTCTCTGCCCTTGCTGGACCGGCAGCACAGCACGTATGATTAGCTCAGCTGAAAACTCCAGTTCCTGTCAGAGCTCATGGCCTGTGTCTGTCCAACCAAGTGCACAACCACTCTCATGAAGTCACTGGGTGCAATTTACTACATCCAAAAGTGGCTGTTTACCCAGACATGCTGGGCCTGGTTCGAAGTTCAGCGACAAGACTTCCACTGACTTCAGCAGGCACTGGACAAAGGGCCGCTCTCTGCAGAGCAAGGCCAAAGCAGCAAGAAGTTGCCTATCTCAGCTATACCGTTATTTTCCCAGCAAGGACAACAGAACTTACGTATTTGACTTTTGTTCTAAACAAAAAAGAAAAAAAGAAGCCTAAGTCCATTTCTCACTTATGAGCCACTTACTTTGTAAACCAAAAATAAACAGTGAACTGACAATACTTTCACTTCAGAGGAGGGGAAATGTTGCCAAAATGCTTTGAGTGTGGAATTCAAATCAGAATTGAAATGTCTTTCTTCACACTCACATTTCTCCCACATTTTTTGCTGCACAGCATTTAATGGCCTGAGGAAGATGGTGTGTTCTCCCACCCTCCCATTAAGTGAGACTGTTTCTCCCCATCAGGGAATCTTAGCACAGAGCTGACAGTTCTTCAAGCTCTTCAATGAAAATGCTTGTTCAGCAGCAATAGCTTCTGCTTCTACTAAAACAATAAAAAATGCCTGAAACATCCTTAATGTACTTGGAAACAACATTGCTTTGCTTTAATATGTATATTTAATTCATTTAAGTATTGTAAGTGTCTGAAAGTCAAGACTGAATGTGTTTCAGCAAAAACTAAACCTATAAAAACTTCTTCAAATCTTCAAACCAGAGAGCTTGAAAATTCCCTTAATTACATTTTGGGGTCTGGGGCAGGAGCTGGGTTAGGGGAAGAGCAGTAGGGAGGGGATGCAAATACACAGCACACACACGCCCCCCTAAAAAAAAAACCCACCTTATTTGCTCAGCTCTAAAACCAGATCTGACAATTTCCTAACTACAATATTTAATTTTTTTTTCTGTTTAAAACCAAAACACACTTAAGCGACTATAAAATTAAGGTTGCATAAACAAAACAAAACCTTACTAATTAGCTTTATTATCCCAAGCCAAAACACAGCCCCAAATCCCAGAGCACGGTCATTAGTAGGACAGGACCTACAACATCAGTTGTGTGGTTTTTCCATAAAACAGCACTAAAATTCACATACCTGACTCCCACACATCAGGCTTTGCGCTGCCATCATGATCGATTTCATTCCCGAAGCACAGACTTTATTGACAGTTGTAGTAGGAGTGCAGACTGGTAGACCTGAGCCAAGGAAGTTGTACAAACCACCATATTATTTCAAGGGTAGACTAACACTTTATTGGTGTCTCAGCAGTACTTCTTACGGGACCAATTTTTACCTAAGCCCAGGGTGTCCAGCTTGCACTATTTAGCCTGCTGGGGCAATTTATCCACCCTCACTCCTAGTTACCATCCTTCTTGGAGACTTGTTCTTTCTCCCCCTCCAACAGATAAGGGAGCAAGCAAGTGAAGAATCAGAGACAGAAGATCAGGGAAGCAACTCCAGGACTATTCCTCCTCCTGACACCCCGGTCCCTGCCTCCAAGAAGCATTCAAGACTGAAAAGGCATAAACAAGCTGTAGAATTTAGCAACTGGCAACAAGACAGACCCCAGAAGTAGAGGGACTCCAAACGCACGCAATACTGAGCAAGACCAAAAGTGCCACCATCACTCACACGGGTGTTACTGAGTTGTTCCTGAGTGCTCACCACAACAGCTTTGGGCTCTGCTGTGTGCAGCTTGGCTCAAGCCCACTGCATCACTGCCGCTGCCCTAGTACCAGCACATCACCTCCACACCGCAGCGAGATGGGGAAACGAGCCGGGGAAAGAAAAGGGCCGTATTCACCCCTTTGCCTCACATGGAAGCAGCTCCTTCTCTTTCAGAAAAGTACATGGACAGAGCCAGGAAAGTATCCAGTTCTTCCCTGATCCACAGACTTCCCTACAGTCACACTAAGGTATGGAATCCCACCCCCACAGCGACAGGGAGAAGAAAGTAACTCCTGCACCCCAATGACATTCGTGCTGCAGTTAGTTAACGTTACTGAGCGAATCCTTCCAGTGACAGCTCCCGACTCCATGGGAAGATGAGTACAATGACATACTCTTATCTGCAGTTCAAGGAAACTCACCGACCCCTTATCCAGGAGGACTTAAGAGTAACGAAGTAAAAAAAGGCCGTTTCATGAAAGATTCAAAGAGCAGCATCCATCATTAGCCTAAAGTGCTCTGGAAGTAGCAGCCTGGTCTCCACTATCGTCTTCTACCGCTTCTGCAGACACCACAGGCAGTGACATCCATTGTGCATACGAAAATGGATCCCTGAGGATGGACATCTGGGGCCACTTACGTGAGCACAACACACCCCCTTCACCCACCACAGGGAAAAAAGCACACAGAGACTGCCCTGACAGAAGGCTGGGCACCGCTCTGCTTTAGCGCGTGGCTCGATGATCTACGCTGTCTGCACAAAGACAGAAAACCTTTAACTCCAGCATCAAGGGAATGAATACCTGCACCCAAGACTGCTTGTCTCGCTGGAGCCTGTCCTTGTCCAGCCTGCAAGACGTTACCCATGTACACTTCTTTCACTTCTTCTGCGGGGATACCTATAAAACAAAATTGTTTTGATTCAGGATTCTTTGCCCAGAAGACGTAACTCCCTTTTACGAACATTCCCATTGAAGTTTTCTATCAGACTGCTGAAATGTGCCGTGTCCTGTGCTAACAGCACGCAGGCCCCTGTGGGTGCATCCTGGATCTCTACCCTGGTATTCACGGAATGTGCTGAACTGCTGACACCCCCATCCCCAAAAGAACTCCCTTGTTACCCTGCAGAATGAGCTACAGTCAGCCAACTACAGCAAACATTTCCATGTCTCACTAGTCACCCGAGAAGCTCAGTTTCCATGGATGGTTAAATGCACAAAGCTTCCCACACGCCACAGTTATGTCTAAAGGAACAGTTTTGTTCGTTAGTTTTACAGGGGTGAGTCAAGGCCACAGGTAGCTGCCACCAGACAGAAGAGCCCTGCTCTCCCGCTGCATCTCTTGCAACAGCCCTGGCGTTCGAGTTCTTGTAATATGCTGTTTCGAGAAGTCAAATTTGTAGAAAATTAACCCTCCTCTCTCCCAAAAAGTTTTTTTTGCTAATTTGAGTCCATCAATAGACTCACAAGGGTTCCTACAAGCATGAGTGCCCATGTAAAAAACAGGCACTGAAAGGAAGGGGCACTGGTTTGGGCAACAGCTAGCCTTTGCATCAGATTAGGCGTGTCGTAAGACCCCACCCCAGGAAACAATTAGCACGTTCAGATGGATTTGGATTAGCACAGATATCCCTAAGTAATATTCCACTCCTAGAAACAGCACTTAATTCAGATTCAAAGCCCAACAGTGAGCTTTACTTAAACACCATTTGTGGATAGACTTAGGAGTGCCACGGCAGCAAAACCCACAAGATCTTTTGTTTACCAAGCAACTTAAAAGACACAGACTGATACTGGTCTGAGCCACTCAAGGTTTTCTTTGTCACAGAAAAACTATTTACATATACCTGCTCTGTCAATTGCTCCCTTAATTGCAATGGAACCAAGTTTAGTGGCTGGTAATGACGAAAGAGATCCCTGGAAAGATCCGATCGGTGTCCTTACAGCACTTGCTATCACCACCTCCTAAGAGGAGAAGCATGGAGTCAAAGTCACAATCTCTCTCACACATGCACACTTATACCAGAGTCTTTTCTAAATTTATCCACTTCTACTCTTTCATTCATGTCACAGCTTCTCTTTTATCCCACAGGTGTTTCAGAGCACTAAAATAATCTTTATTAACGCATGCAGCACGGGGAATAAACATAAGGAGTTAGAGACAGGTGCGCAGTTGCAGGATTAGAATCTTGGGATCACGGAGCCGTGGTGGGATGGCTCCCATGGCTGGAGTGCTGCCATGGAGGGATACGGGCTCTTCGGGAAGGACAGGCCAAGGAGACAAGGAAGGGAGGTTGCTGTTTAAGTGAGAGACAGCTGGAGTGCACTGATCTCAGCCTTGGGGTGGATGATGCTTGAAGGGGTCCCAAGGCTCTGGAGGGAGAAGGGGTCGAAGAAAGCTGACTAATATTTGAGGATTACACCCTCCAAGCTCAAGAGCACTCCATTCCAACAAGCAGGCAAGTCAGGTGAAGACAGAACACGAGAGCTGTATGGATGACCAAAGCAGGGTCAGGGAACCTGACCTGAGCTGTCTGAGCATGCAGGAATGAGGTTAAAAAAGCCAAATCCCAAAGATAAACAAATCTGGCAAGGGATGTCAAAGGCAATGAGAAATGCTTCCATAAACACCTAGGAAGCACAAGGAACTCTAGGGAAAACGTAGGCCTGCTGCTGAACGGGGCAGGAGACTTGGTGAGACAGGACATGGAAAATGCTGAGGTACTGAATGCCTTCTTCATCTCACTCTTCACGAGTGAGACTGGCCTTCAGAAATCCCAGGCCCCAGAGGAAGGCTAGAGCAAGGAAGACGCACTCTTGGTGGGAGAGGATCAGGTCAGGGAATACTTAAGCAAACGGGACATAAACAAATCCTTGGGCTCTGCCGTGATACACCCACAGAGGGAGCTGGCAGATGTCTTTGTAAGGTCGCTCTCAATAATCTTGGAATGGTCAGAGCAACTGTGAGCGGTGCCCGAGGACTGGAGGAAAGCAAATGACACTCCTGTCTTCAAAAACATCAAGAAGGAGGACCCAGGGAAGTACTGGCTGGTCAGCCTCACCTCAGTCCCTGGGAAGGTGATGAAACAACTAATCCTGGAAACCATTTCCAGGCACAAGAACAAGAAGAAAATCATGAGGAGTCATCAGCGTGGATTTGCCCTGGGCAAGTCATGCTCAAACAACCCGATAACCTTCTACAATGAAAGGACTGGCATGGTGGAGGAGGGGAGAGCCGCGAACATTGTCTGCCTAGACTCCAGTAAGGCTTTCAACACGGCCTCCCATAGGATCTTCACAGAGGACTGCTGATGTACAGGCTGGATGAGCCAACAGTGGGGTAAACTGAACGGCCAGGCCCAGGGGGCTCTGATCAGTGGCACAAAGTCTGGCTGGAGGCCAGTAACTAGCGGTGCACGCCAGGGGTCGATCCTGGGTCTGATCCTGCTTAACGTTTTCATTAATGATGTGGATGATGGGGCAGCGTACCCTCAGCAGGTTTGCTGGTGACACCAAACTGGGAGGAGTGGCTGATATGCCAGAGAGTCTGCTGCCACCCAGATAGACCTCAGCAGGCTGGAGAAATGGGCCAACGGGAACCTCATGAAGTTCAACAAGACGTACAAAATCCTGCACCTGGGGAGGAACAACTGCTGGCACCAGAACACAGAGATGGCCACCCAGCTGGAAAGCAGCTTGGGAGAAAAGGACCCGAGAATCTTGGTGGATACCAAGTTGAACATAAGCCAGAAACGGGCCCTTGCTGCAAAGGCAGCTAACGGAATCCTGGGCTGCATTAGGCAGCGCATTGGCAGCAGGTCAAGGGAGGTGATCCTTCCCCTCTACTCCGCCCTGCTGAGACCCCATCTGGAGTGCTGTGTCCAGTTCTGGGATCCCCAGCTCAAGAGAGACAGGGAACTACTGGAGAGAGTCCAGTGGAGGGCCACGAAGATGATTAAGGGACTGGAGCATCTGACATATGAGGAAAGGCTGAGAGAGCTGGGACTGTTCAGCCTGGAGATGAGAAGACTCAGGGTGATCTCATCAATGTGTATAAATACCCGAAGGGAGGCTGCAAAGAGGTCAGAGCCAGGCTCTCTTCAGTGGTGCCCAGTGACTGGACAAGGTGTTATGGGCACAAACTGACACACTCAAGGTTACGTCTGAACATCAGGAAACACTTTTCCACTGCGAGGGTGACTGAGCACTGGCGCAGGTTGCCCAGAGAGGTCATGGACTCTCCCTCCTTGGAGACACTCAAGAGCCCACGTCCCAGCATAACGAGTAAGTGGTAGTTTAAGACATGATTTACTCTTATTTTGCCTCTTTGCCTTAATGCAACATCAACATACCTACCCGCTAACTCTGTGAGAGTATCATAAGGACCCAGCATCAAAAAGATGCCCATTTCAGACCTCTGGCTGCCCCTGGACAGTTACTGAGAAGCAGCAATGAATACCTCCAGCTGTGCTGGTTTCAGTGGAAGTCAGACACAAAGCTTTATGAGGTCTCACCACAAGTTCTTTATTTATAGAGACAAGCAAAGATAGAAATCACTGGAAAAAGTTTAAACCAAAAAAGACAAATTGTGCTTGTTTAAAACTAGGAAGGTCTGTCTCTTTCTGTAACCCCTTCTTCATCGTGACTGACTGCAGTGATAGTAAAGCACTTGTCCTCATCTTTTCATTGGAACAGCAAGTTGCAGGATAACATCCAAATAACATCAAAAGGATTGGTTAACATCAGCTGTATTTTCCAGTGACAGACAGACAAATTAAGTTAGCTGACACACTTCTAACCAATTTTGCCCCCCTCACCTACCTAACAACTAGAAAAGCAAAGTAACAAAGGAGATCTGACTTTGATTCCAGCTTTTGCAGTAAGGTGCGACTTGGCCACAAGCTGAGTTGCCTGCAAATAGGATTTTTTTTGTGATAACTTTTTAAAAACTTCAGCAGTTAAGAAACAGATCTAACCAGTGATTTACTGCAGTCAGATGGTGTTTTATACTCACATTTAAAGTACGCTGTGATGCATAGCCACGGCTTGTATACTTCAAAGCCTGAAAATAAGAAAGTTCTGAGAATTTCATATCAAGAAAGCCAATACCATGATGCTTCAATAATGTACCATTTTCATAGAAGTCATAATTTAAAAAAATAATATCTAAGAAATACTGGAAAAATATTACATTAAAAATAATGAAATGCTTTTAAAAAAAGCGTAGCCTAGTACATAGTCTCACCATAACATCTGTGATAAAACATTTTCTGACAAATAAACAGATAATCCTTTAAAAACAAAACCCAGTTCATTTTGGACAAGCCTGTCATGTACATATGTAACATATGTCTAAACCAGGGAGTGATGTGCTATCTTGAAAAAGTTTACTAGTCCCTCTGTCTGTTTCTCTGGACTTTGGTTCATTTGTTGCTATCATTAAATTCACTGCTTTTTAAATAGTAGCAGTTTGTGTCTACAGCTTTATTTCCTTGGTGAATTATTCTCATTCAAAAATGAGGATAATGAATTCAGAATTCTGCAACAAAATATTAAAAAAAAAAAACAAAACCAAGAAAAAGAAAAAGCTATCACCTGAACAGGCTATTTAACCAGCTACTAGCTTCATCTAATTAATCAGGTTAAAGATACAAAGATAGATCTGAGGGTATTATTTAATATATTAACAGAATTATCTTTCAATTAGTGGTTTAAAATATCGAGAGTTTAAGCCATTTCCTTAAGACAACATTTCAATACACTGGAGACTTCTGGTCATCAGAGTGACAGCTAAATAAATACTAATAAAAAGAGTAACTGCTTACGGATGCTACAAAAACACCATGAATTTTATAAATCAACGAACACCTTCTGTCCATAATAAGAAAATTTAGTGTTTCTCTCTTCATTTGACAACCTTCAAAGACAGATATTTTTTTCCTACTGCTTTTCAATTCGTTTTTTTGGGTTTGGTTGGGTTTTTTTAGCTCAGGTTCTAATAGCCAGTGGAAAGTTTAAGTTAAACTCTCTGAAAAAGAATTATGTCCCTGTAGGGCTTTAATAACAGGGCTTTTGAAGGTTAGTGTAATAAAAAAAAAGCCCTAGCAAAGTAACATGCCCTTACTGTGATACACCTGAAGGCTACCTTTGTAGTAAACTGGATAAACCAGGCAATACCAAATGTAACTGCATCTGCCAGCAGCGTTCGTGCTCTGTGTCAATTACAGACTTTTTTTAAAAGCAGAACAATTCTACAGCTGCCAAGACACAACCTTCAGCTCTGCGTGTGGCAATACGGCCAAACCACACGCAATCCAGCGCAGTGGGGATGCTTCCCCTGCCCTTTTCTCCCAGTACAGCTCTCCTCCGCACCAGCGGCAGGACGCCCAGCGCTCCAGGCGAACCGGGCACCCCCACCCCCCCAGTCAGCAGCGCCCCAATGCCGCCCGTACCGCGGCTCTGCGGGCGGGAGCACTCGGTACCTCACCTCGCGCACACCGAGGCAGCACCTTTGCT